CCTCTCCGCGCGCCGCGGCATCGCCTTGACGTGCCCCGACATCCCTCCGTCCGGCCCCGGGCTCCGCGGCATCCGCCCGACATCTCCCCTCGTCCCTCCGTCCCGCTCGGGCTACCCGGCATCACCCCCGCCCGCCCCCCGCATCCCTCCGACATCTCCCTGGGATCCCCATGTTTTCGCCCCTGCTCCTCAGCATCCTCCCGGAACGGCACCGTCCTGCCCCGTGTTCCCTGCATCCCCCCCGGCATCCTCCCACATGGTCTCCTAGACCTGCCCTGGTGTCCCCTCGGCATCCCTCCGTCCTGAGCCTCCCTGTCATCTCCCACTCCGTGCTGCCCCCGAGCACCCCCTGCATCCCCCCGTGCTGTCCCTGAGTGTCCCCCTGTGCTCCTCCGCGTGTCCCCACGGCCCTGGGCTGCAGGTGCTGCCGGTGCATCCCTGGGGTGCTCCAGGCTCCGTGCAGGAACCTCCTGGGGCCCTTGGCAGAGCTGCTGGCAGCCCAGGCTGCTCGGATGCGGCCTCGGGGGAGCTCCCGCCCGGTCCTGCGCACTTCACCCTGCTACCAGGGCAATAAATCGGGGCAGAAACAGGGCAGTTTGGGTCTCCCTCACCCCGCACCGGGTTTCACTTTCCGGAGGGACATGGAGCAGCCGGGTGCGGGGCCACCGGGATATCTTGGGCGGGGGCCCCCGGCTTTCCTCTCCCCGTGGATCCCGAGGCTTCTCCCCACCCGGCTGCGGCTGCAGCTTCCCCAACAGCCTGGAACCGCTCGGGGTTGCTACGCGGCGCAAATCCCGGCACAAGGGACAAATCCCGGGGGACGGTGTCTGCGCCCGGCACAGCAGGCGCTCGGTTGCTGCATTTCTCCATCTCTCATGAAATCGGGCCAGGCAGCAGGATCCAGGCTGGATCGTCTGCCTAGATGCTGCCCCACTCCTTAAATTGCCCTTAAAGACAAGCAAGCAATTTTGTGCATTGCAAAGCGAAGCACTGCATAAAACCCTGCCGATTTACACAACCACGCGCAAAGACGCTGCCGTTCCCAGGGCTTGGCTTCTGATCAGATGTTTTTGCAAAATGCAACTCAGATAAACATATCCAAGCAATAACAAACTTTAAAGATAAGGAGGAAGCTCAACAGTGACTCATTTAGACATGATCCAGCTGGGCAGAGCCTCGTCCAGCTAATATCCTTTTAAAAAGGCTCTAGACACTGGATCCAGCGTGACACAAAACCTCCAATGGGATAATCTGCGTTTGGCTACCGGAGAAGGGGAGAACCCTGCACCTGCCACCTCTAGTGATGGTTGTCACCAGGGCTGTTCAGTGGGGGATATATAACAAAATACCCCCAAGCTCTGCGCCAAGCAGAGCAGTGGCCTTGGCTCCGCTGTGGGGCACTGGGGTCTCCTTCCTGGAGCGATGGGAAATGGAGCTCTCTGGGCTTTCAGACCAGCCTTCCCGTCTTTTTGGTGCAACCGTGGCCACCGGCAAGCCGGGAGAGCAGCGGCTTCACACCTGGGGGACCCTGTGAGCAGAGGCCGATGTGGGGTCGGCAGCTCTTCTCGTGGGACGGGGGTGACGGCTGAGGGTGTTGACAGCACACCCGAGGAGGACGCTGACAGCTTGTCCCAAAAGGGCACTGATGGCTCCCCTGGGGCGGACACTGACAACACATCCCATAAGGATGCTGACAGTCCATCCCCTAGGGATGCTGATGGCACATCTGGAGGCAGTGCTGACAGCACATCCCATGGGGGTGTTGCCATCACATCTGGCTGTTCCCTCCCTGGGGCTGCTGCTCTTTCGGCTCCCTTTGCCGGTGCTAGCAGAGCCGGGGCCGCGTTTCCCACCCAGACTAACGCAGACGGGGGGGAGCGCCGAGCTCCGCAAATGATCACTAATGCTGGCTGTGTGTTTGCACTTGGGGGATTATGTTAATCATCCTACAAATGAGGCTTTGCATCATGCCTGGAGGTTAATTAACGTGCTTTTCTTCTCCAAAGAAGCCTCCTGGTCCACACTTCAGCTCTGCCTCCCTCCCTGATCCGCGGTGCAGCTTCCTGCTGGCCCAGGCACCTTGTTGGGCACATGCAGGGACAGGGTGATGGGTATTGCGGACACATTTGCAACTGCTGATACACAGAGCATCCTGCAAAACCTCTTTTCAGCAGACACGTCCGTGCAACCCAGCGCCCTATCCTGCACGGAGTTATTTTCTTTCTATGAGGGAGCAGCTGATCCCTCTTTCCCAGCAAATTTGACTCCCTTTCTGGGAGCCAAGCTGCTGCAGTTGTTGCACTGGCTGCATCCCACTTTCCAAAATACTTTTACTTGGGATGCACTGTCACATCTCCCTCCTTCAAATCCTCCTGCTTGGGGTTCCCCTGTTTATGTATTACATAAATATGTATGTCTATGTACGCATACGGACACACAGCAGTTCCCAGGAGGGATCCTCTGCCTTCCTGCAGCACCCAAGCCCCTGTTTTAGGCCGCCGGGCAGCGTTCCCGGGATCCTGCAGCGCGTGCGGCGGGCGGCCGCGCCGCGCGGCGCTGACGGCGGCTCTCGTTGCAGGCGAGCG